CAAATACCAACATCCACAATGGCAATGTGCCAACTGGCAGAGTCCCTGGGCTTTTCTTTTCTATTCTTTTTAAATCTTCACTATGATGGTTCCATTGTGATATATTTAACAACTCCTCCTTAAAAAGCCATGGGCTACATTTTTGTATTGTATCAATTTTTATGCCCTGACTGTTCTTGATTTTACTGAGATGCCTCCTTCCTCTAACAATTTACTTAACACTCTTTCAGTTTGTTTTTTGCTAATTTCTGATCCCGTATTTCTATATAATACAACCCAACAAGATGACGCCAAACAAAACCGAGACAGAATGAAATAAAAAGGGAACAACAAAAAGTCATTATAGCCTTTCTATCCTCCTGACATGTGCATCCGTCCTTTCTCCCTATCTGTTCCTCAGACGTAAATAGTTTTTCCTCAGATGTGAGCGGTTTTTCTTCCGTCTCACTCATCTCCAGGGACAGGCAACTTAAAACAAAAGTGAAGCAAAATAAAAGAGGAATCTTAAAATGGCTACCCATCCTCTCGCCCTGCCCTCAGGGGCGAGCAGTTTCACTTACCCTCAGTCGTTCCCCGTGCGGGCCACCAAATGCCGCAGTCTGGCTGGGCACAATCAGGAGCCACTTGTCAAAAGAAACTAACTTTATTTTTAGAACCACACACGCCAAACAAAACAGCCTCTCAGGAAAAACCCTCAGAGCCTCAACTGCCACCACCGGCTTTCCACTGGGCAGGCCCAGACAGCCTGTGGTTTTTCTGAAAATCAGAACTCCCTGAGGTCCTGTTTGCATAGACAAAGACACAGACACAACTGCCCTGCTCAGCACTTGCCCTTCAAACTTGACAGGCCCCCTCTGGCCCCTTGCTATAGCTTGGATCTTCAGTGTTCCCCAAAGACCCAAGAGTTAATGACTTGTTCCTCAGTCTGTGGCACATACTGGGAGGTGTTGGAACATTTAGGAGGTGGGGTCTAGTGGGAGGAGGTTAGGTCACTGAGGGAATGTCCTTGAAGGAGATATTTGTACCCTGGTCCCTCCTCTTTCTTCTCCTCCCTTCCACCCACCACAAAGTGAGCAGCTTTGCTCCCACTACGTTTTGTTTGTTTGTTTGTTTTTTAAAGAGAGAGAGAGAGAGAGAGAGAGAGAGAGAGAGAGAGAATTTATTTATTTAGTTAGTTTTTTTTGGCGGACACAACATCTTTGTTTGTATGTGGTGCTGAGGATGGAACCCGGGCCGTACACATGCCAGGCGAGCGCGCTACTGCTTGAGCCACATCCCCAGCCCTGCTCCCACTACGTTTCCATCATGATGTGCTATGTTGCCTCAGATCCCAAAGCCATGGAACCACCGGATCATGGACTGAAACCTCCAAAACTATGAGCCAAAATAAACCTTTCTTCTTTTTAAGTTAATTTATCTCAGGTATTTGTTACAGTATTGAAAAGCTGACTAACACACCCGCCTGCACACTCTACTCTATACCCAACTCTGTCTGACTCTTGGCCTCTATAATTCCCCTCACCTGGAGTATCTTCCCAGTCCTATTTGCCTGTCCAAGCCCTAGACACCTCTTCCTCCTTGATGCCCCATTGGCCTTTCATTTGGGACACTATTTCAGCATGTAAAGAAGATTTTTGAGAACCAATACTGCTTCTTAGCTTTGTATTTGCAGACCCTAGCAGAGCACAGGGTACCTTATCTTCATTCAGTAAATGTTGAGTGAACCTAAGGCATAGCTTGCATGCATCATCCAATATATATTTAGTGAGCTTAATTTATGCAAGCCATGTGCTACTTTCAACTGACTCGCCTTTTGTATGAATTCTCATGGCATCTACCGAGTGCTCAGAATTTGTAGAACGTTCAAAAAGACCCCACATATCCAGGCATCACATACTCTATAATGACATTTTCCCACTGACAGTCACCTTCTTACATTCCTCCTCCAGGGGAAATGGCAATGTTCTTCCCAATTCCTTGTCTCAGATACTTCTCTTTTATCCTTAATCCCACCCCCTAAAATATCCCCAACCAGTCCTCTCTCTCCCCCTCCTTCCACATTTCTTTTTTTTTTAATTTTTATTCTCTCTTTTTTTAATTGACAGAAAACACTGCGTGTTTTTATCTTGTACCACACTATGTTGTGAAGTACACATACATTGTGGAATAGCTAAATTTAGGTAATTAAAAAAATGCGCTTCCTCGGTTACCATTTTTGTGTAGTGGCACATAACGTCACTCTCTTGACATTTATTAATCCATCATCTTCATATACATTTCCACCACATTGTTCAGAATTTCATCATATCCTAATAGTCTTTCTACTTTTATTCAGAGTGTTTTCAAATCTGAGAGCTTGTCTGGAAGTTCTAGCAGGGGAATGCAGCTACTCAAATGCCTTTGACTGAAGAACGGTCCTCTTCTGGGAAGGTCCTCCTCTTTGAGTACACTGCTTCAAGAGGGGCACACATGGAGAGGTGAGGGAGGAAGGGGACACCCACTTAGCTAGCCAGATCAGGTGAATCAACCCTGGCAATCAATGGGATGATAGATGTCACAGCCAGATTGCCTTCACTTCCAAGCATTCTCAATTTGTTAGCACCACTGCCATCAGAGAAAATCTTTCTGTATCGTGTCATTAATCTTTTTAAAAATATTACAAAAAACTCTTGACATCAGGTGATTCTCAAACTTTCAGACACAATACTTACTTTCTTTGAAAACAAGTTTATTCAGTATTGAAAATGCTGTCTTGAGCACTAATCTCCAGGATATATAAAGAACTCAAAAAACTTAACACTTAACTTAAACAAATAACCCAATCAACAAATGGGCTAAGAAACTGAACAGACACTCACAGAAGAAGAAATACAATTGATCAACAAACATGAAAAAATGTTCATTATCTCTAGAAATTACAGAAATGCAGATCAAAACTACTCTAAGATTTTATCTAACTCTAATCATAATGGCATTTATCAAGAATACAAGCAATAATAAGTGCTGTCAAGGATGTAGGGGAAAAGGTATATTCATACATTGTTGATGGGACTGCAAATTGGTGCAACCACTCAGAAAACTTGGAATGGATCCACCATTTGACCCAACTATCCCACTCCTTGGTTTATATCCAAAGGACTTAAAATCAGCATACTACAATGGCACAGCCACATCAATGTTTACAGTAGCTTAATTTACAATAGTTAAACTATGGAATCAACCTAGATGCCCTTCAAGAGATTAATGGATAAAGAAAATGTGGTACATACACACAATGGAATATTACTCAGCCTCAAAGAACAATGAAATTATGGCATGTGCAGGTAAATGAATGGAACTAGAGAATATCATGCTAAGTGAAATAAGCCAATCCCCCCAAACCAAAAGCTGAATGTTTTTTCTGATAAGTGGATGCTGATCCATAGAGGGGTGGGGGGTGGGGATAGGGAAGAATGAAGGAACTTTGATTTGTGTAGAGGGGAGTAGGGGAGGGGCGGGATTGTGGGGATGAGACGGACAACAGAATTGAGACAGGCATTATTATCCAATATACATGTATATTTATACTACTGGAGTGACTCTGCACCATGTACAACCAGAGGAATGAGAAATTGTGCTCCACTTGTGTACAATATGTCAAAATGAATTCTATTGTAAAATAAATTAATTATTTAATTTAAAAAAGAAAATGCTGTCTTGAATGTTGCTTCTATAATTCAACTCTGCACAATAAAGAGTTGGTGAAGAAGTTTTCTTCACACTGGTTGAAGAAATTTCAATCGGAAAAATAATTTGGACAACACTGTCTTTTTATAACAAATATTTTGCAATGTCTCTGGTATATTTTTGAAATAAAATCCATTAATAATATAATGCACCTACACATAATTTTAAAATATCAATATAGTATTGTAACTATAAAATAAAAGGAAATGTAATTTATTATAAAATAAGATGTATTTCAGAATATAAACCTGAGCACCATGACCCTCTAGCCTAGTCTTCCCTGACACCACTTGTATTAGTCAGCTTTCTGTTACTATAACAAAACAATTGAGATAACTAATTTATAAAGAAAAAATTTTAGCTCATTGTTTTGGAGGGTCCAGTCTAACATGGGGCAGACCTGTTGCTTTTGGCCTCTGGTAGGCATACCAGATGGTAATGGAAAAGGAGTGTGTAGTGCAGCAAACTGCTCACCTCATGGCTAGGAAGCAAAAGAGAGGAGAAAGGAAGGAGAATGGGGTTCCACAATTCCTTTTGAGGTCACACTTCCCATAATCTAGGGACCTCACCTCCTGGAGACCAAGCCTTTAATCCATGGACCTTTGGGGAACATTTAACATCCAAACCGCAGCATCACTATATTCTGGTTGGCAAAATCATCTCATGTTCACACTCCCCCCCAGCCCTCACCCCATTGGCTCATGTTTATGCTTCAAAACTTCCTCCACAACCAGTGCCCCCAGGTGGGGTAGAGTCCCTCATCCAGGCTTATGAGCACCTCATGCTTTGATGTCACAGTGCTGCTCTATTTATAGCTCCTTTATTAATTTTTTTAACTTAGGAAAATATACAAATTTATCAAAAGTAGAAAAAATAGTATGAGTCCCACTTACTCGTTTCCTTATTTCTATAATTATCTACATTTGTTCTACATATTTTATATATCCTTTTCTTTTTTCCTAATATTTTGAACCTAATACCTGACATCTGAAGTATTTCCTTATGAATCCTGAAAATAAATTGCACTTTTTTTTTTTTAACTGCTCCTGGAGGTTGTGGCGAGGGGAAGGGAGGCCTGCAGGTGCCATGAACTCAGGTATGGTGGAAGGAGTTCGTTATGTCAGACACTGTCAGGAAATTTTGCAGGTTTTAGTTGCCAGGAACAGGGGACCAAATCCAAATGTATTTCTATCATATAACTGCCAATGTTCTTCTTTTAAAGAAGTAATTGTAACAATTGCTTTTTAAAAATCAACTCTTTTCCTTCTCCATAGTAACTTCATTGTTCACAGAGGAAAGGATCTCCGAGGCTACTACCATGGGCAACTGGCAAGAGTTCATTATGATGATAGTGTGAAGAAAACACCCAGGTGAGACACATCCTAAGTATTAATTTCCAAGAATGTCACCAAAGCTAAAATGATTTTTATGGGTGACATAATCTCTTAATAATGGTAACAATAATAACAAGTATTACTTCATGGTAGAAAAGATTTAAAAGGAAATACACCAACTATCAAAAAAGATGGGTTTTGGGGCTGGGATTGTGATTCAGTGGTAGAGCGCTCCTCTAGCATGCACGAGGCACTGGGTTCAATCCTCAGCACCACATAAATGTAAAATAAAGATATTGTGTCCACCTACAACTTTAAAATAAATAAATATTTTTTTTAAAAGTGGGGTTTTGTTGTTGTTGGGAGTGGGTGGGGAGATCTTTTCTTTCTTTTTACACTGGGGATCATCAAACCCAAGGCCTCACTCATGCTAATATGAGCTCTATTACTGAGCTACACTCTCTAGACCCAATAATGTCTTTTTAAATCAGTGGTAAGATCAATAGTATTTTGTATTTTACTTTTTAATCTTTTTCTATTTTCCAAATTTTTTATTTCTTTTATTTTTATTTTTTTGATTTTTGTGTGTGTGGTGGGGAGGTTACTTGTGGCACTTTATCAGTGCACTGCACCCCAGCGCTTTTTATTTTTTACTTTGAGACACGGTCTCAAAATTGCTAAGGCTGGCTTTGAACTCATGATCCTCCTGCCTCAGCCTCCTAAGTCTCTGGGAAAACAAGCATGTGCCACCACATCCAGCTTTCAGTGTTTTTTCTAATGACCACACGTTGTTTTTACAATCAACAATAAACAAAGAATTTTATTAAATCATTATTTAAAATCCCATGTCTTTAGGCTTTCCAATTGGCCAAATAACTGAAACTTACTGAGATTCAGTTTCTTTCTCAGTAAAGTTACAAATTTGGCCTAAATGTTTTCTACCCTTCTAGGTCTGGTTTTCATAAAAAGAAAAAACTAAAATCAAAGGTACTTTGATTCTCTCTCTCTCTCTCTCTCTCAGCTTAGGGAATCAGGAAACTATAAAGGCAGCAATTTGAGTAACTTATGAACTGTTTGATCTTAGGCAATCTTCATTCCTTCTCAGTATTAACTGCCTTAATCTGCTAAATAAAATAATGGATATAAAATTCCATAACACATTAAGCACTCAACATACATGTGATCTTTCCTTGGGGAGGAGGAGAAGGAAGGATGCTTAAAGGGAAACTGAAAGCCCTGCACTATCTCTTGCAATTTTGGCAGGCCCAGCATCACTTCCAGGGAGTGGGCTGTGGCTGATGAGAAAATGGACCTCTTTTCTTCCAGTGGGTACTCATCAACTATTTCTCTTTACATTTAGACCACTCAGAGACTTGGCAATTCCAACCGAGAGAAAAACTCCGCATCAGCCTCAATTAGACCAACAAATGCTCATTCGATATATTCGTTTTAAAAGTCGTTCGAAGCCTGTCGACTCATGGTATAAGGAAACCACTTACCAGAGAAGCTATTCGCTGCCATTTTACGACATGGGTGAGTCGGGTCAAGTGATCTTGACCACTGAGTTAACCCTGCCGGGGCCACAGATCGGCACATTCCCTGGGCTTGCTGACTCAGGGAGCCAGTTTAGGACCCGGCTGGGGACAGGGATATGTGAGGGTCTGGGTGCAGAAAGAAGTTAGAGGGGTGCCGAGGGTTCCTCCTTTCCTGGCTCCCTGCATCTGGGACTTCAGGGATGAAAATCTGCAAGTGTCCTTCTTAGGAAGTCGACTCCAGTCTGAGCCCTGAGTCCCTGTCCCACCACAAATTGTGAGTGGGCCTAAACACATTGTTGAGGGAACTTCTTTTTCTTTCTATATTTTAAATGATGTTATGACAATTACTTGACATATATGGAGGCATGTTCAAAAATTCCCAACTCCCCTCACTGTATTTCTCTGTTTCAGCAGGTGGGCAGAGGGATCCTGAGAGTGTACAATGATGACAGCTTAATATTATTTACATAGTCATTAGTGCTTTGGGGTTTTGTTTGTTGAATGAATTACCTCATTGGAAGACTTTGTAAATGAACAAACCCCAACATTTTGGGGGCTCTTACATGGTGACAAGGACCTATTTAGTCCTACGGCAAGCTCTCTGAGGTGTTACCATCCCCATTTTACAGTAAGTTGCAGGGACCATTCATTAACTAGCCCCAAACCACATAGCCAGGAGGTGAGATCAGCAGGATTCAGGACCCAGAGCATTTCCCTCCCAAATGTGGCCAACTGTGAAGCTATAGTGCTTCTGTCACAGCTGAGTGTCACCTGCATGAGTTACTATTTAACAATTTTCTTTAAAGTGAGTCACACGAGAAATGGTGGGAGTAAAAGGATTTAGCCTTCCCTCACTCCTCCCAGAGTGAGCTGGAATAAGCTGGAAGGGCAGAGAGATGGCCCCAGCTGGGTCCCAGGTCCCCAGGGAACAGCCAACAGTAGCATCAGGAGGAGTGGGAACCAGGCAGAGACAGGCCAGTCTTGGGAGAATTGAGCCAGGGACTAGGTGTCAATAGATGAAGCTGGGATAGGGCCAGCGATTGACAAGAGGTTACAAGCAGGGCAAAGCTGGGTTCTGGAAGCGGGAGAAGGTTGGAGTCTGAGAAGGGAGGGAAGTGAGAACCAAGAAGGAAGATGGAGGCTGAAATGAAGGTCATTTAGAGAAGGAGGGGCAGGCAGGGAGTGAAGAGTGGTTGGGGTGGGGGTGCCAGAGCCCCCTTGAGGAGGTTGTGGTAAAGGAAAGTGGGGGGCTAGGGGTATAGCTTAGGGCTGAAGAAAGTGTGAAGCCTGGGAGGTGAGGAGGAGCTGGAGAGGAGAGGTTGTCAGGATGTGCCAGTAGGACTCCTGCCCTGCAGACTGACTGTGTAAGTGAAAAATCTGTTGCATGAGGGAATCCAGGTGGGTTTCCAAAACAAGAGAAAACTGGACCCTTGCCGGGCACTGTGGGCACACCTGTAATCCCAGCTGCTCTGGAGGCTGAGGTAGGAGGATGGCAAGTTCAAAGCCAGCCTCAGCAAAGGCGAGGCACTAAGCAACTCAGTGAGAACCTGTCTCTAAATAAAAATACAAAAAAAGAGAATGGTGCTAGGGATGTGTCTCAGTGGTCAAGTGCTCCTGGGTTCAATGCTTGGTACCAAAAACAAAAACCAAAAAACAAAAACTGGACCCTTGTTATAATTCCTCTGCTAGGAGGAAACCTCATTAGATAGACACAAAAGGTATTCTCCCACACTTATTTCAGAAGACAGTTTCTAATTCTTTATAAATCTACAAAACCAAATCAATGTTCAGCAGAGCAATTAAATATTTACCACCTACTAGGTACCTTGTCCTCTGCTAGATACATAGAAATCCAGGAGATGATCTCAGCCACAGGGACCTTACAGTCCAATAGGGAAGAGGACCTCAACCTTTTGAATGACCGAATACCAACTAAAGAAGTAGGAGTCCAAAGATGAGGTCACTGGAGCCTCACTACAGCCAATTTCAGCTAGGAATGCAGCATGCATGAATGGGGCCTGAGTTGGGCTGTGTGATGAGTCTGTTGGGATGGGCCACCAGGGACAATGGATGCTGTGGTGAGATTTGTTGGGACTGGGGGAGGATGTTGGCCTGACTAGGGCAAGGGAGAAGACTTTTCCCTGGAAGCCTAGGGAAAATCAAATTTGGACAATCAGAGTCATAGTCAGCAGAGTGACCCAGCTCTGCTCAGGACAGGGTAGAGAAGGCAGGTGCTACAGGCAAGAAGAGCAGCCAGAAGCTGTTGCAGTGGTGCCACGTGGGATGGTGTGAAGTGGGGGACAGGATTCAGGCATCATAGTGCCATAGGCCTGGCACCTTCTAGCTGTGTGGTGTTGGGCTAGATACTCAACTTCTCTGAACCTTTTTGCTCCTCAATAAAATGGAGACTCAAAGTCTACCTTTAAGATAGTTGTTAGGATTTAAAATATCTCATGCCTGGAACTGTGCTAAGTGACATTCATGTATGCTCATCATTACCACTAGTTGTAAATGTCTCCATGAAGTAGGTATATTAGAGACCTTAACCACCTACTAAAAGTTGGGCATGGTGGTGCACGCCTGTAATCCCAGCAACTCAGGAGGCTGAGGCAGGAGGATCACGAGTTCAAAGCCAGCCTCAGCAACTTGGCAAGGTGCTCAGCAACTCAGTGAGACCCTGTCTTCAAATAAAATACAAAATAGGGCTGGGGATGTGGCTCAGTGGTCAAGTGCCCCTGAGTTCCATCCCCAGGACCAAGTAACTTGTTAGTTGAGGTCAAATCTAGATATGTCACTCTCCAAAAACAGTGCTCGTAAATTGAGCTGGGAAGGTTTGAGTGGAAATGGAGTGAAGATTCATATGGCAGAGAACTGGAAGTGAGGAAAGATGGTGCCAATAAAGAATGTGCAAGAGAGGAACTAAAGATCACTCCACAGCCTTGTTTCTGCAAGATTGTTGGTACCTCTGATAGAAATAGTGGTTTGAGGCAGATATGATCAAGTTAGGGTCTATAGACAATTGAAAATATGGTGCTAGAAAGTGCAGGCTAGGCAACAGAAGATGAAGAACAGCTTTGGATATCCCCTACTTAGTGAGGACTGACTTATTCCAGTGTCATTTATATTGAAATATTCACTACTCTGTTCATTGAGTCAGTGATTGAATGCATGTTAGTTGTCTATTGCTGAGGAACAAATCATTCCAAAACTTTGTAGGTTAGAACATGAATGATGATTTTTTTAAAAATGTCTTAGGGATTTCCATGGGTTGGGAATTCCAAAACTGCTCAGGTGGGCAATGGTGGCTGAGGCTCTCGAGATTTCAATCAGATGTCAGTGAGCAGTCTCAGCTGAAGGCTTGATGGCTGGAGGATCCAACCCAAGGTGGTTTAGTGACAGCATTGTCAAGCTGGCTGTTGGCTGGAGGCCTCAGTACTTTTCCACGTGGGCCTCTCCATGGGGCTGCTTGAGTGTGCTGATGGCGTGGAAGTCAGCTTCCTTTAGAATGAGTGATTCAAGACTGAGGTGGCAAAATGCAATGGCTTTTATAACCTAGACTCAAAAGTCATACCCTATCACCTCCGATTTATCCTATTAGTCACATACAGCCACCACTAAGGTCGTGTGGGAGAGTCACAGATATCCTCAGAAGCTGGCAAACACAGTGTGACTATTGTGCACCAATTATAAACGAGACGCTGTGCTATCCTGGGGATACAGTGACCACAATAGACAGGACACCTGCTTCCAGAGAGCTGGCATTCTGCTGGAGGACACAGGACACAGCCAGATACACTTTTTTTTAAAGTTATAGGTTTTGGTAGAGCTATAAGGGAAATTAGCAGGGTGATGAGCACAGTTGAAGGAAGTTCCTTTAAATAGAGCTGTCAGGGAAAACGCGACATAATTTTAGCTGAGCCCTGAAAAATAAGAATGAGTCATATAAAGAACACTTCAGGCAAAGGGAGCAGTAAAAGCAAAATTCTGAAAACTGGAAAAGTCTTGCAGATTTGTGGAACAGAAAGAAGGCCATTGTAGTTTGGTGGGTAGTGAGTTAGGGGTTAGAATAATAAGGTGATTGAATTTTATTTCAAGAGCCATGGAAAGTCATCAAAAGATTTTGAAGAGTGACATATTATTTAAATTTGGGGGAGGGTGGTCCTGGGGATGAAGCCTTGCATGTGCTAGGCATGCATTCTTCCCTCACCCCTTCTATTTTGGAGAGATCACTCTGGCTGCTGTTAAGACAATGGAAAGAGACAAGAGGGAGGGTATGCAGACCACTGAGAAAGCTATTTAGTGGTTTAGACCAGATATTATGATGGCTCATAGCAGCAGAGAAGATGAAAAGGAATAAATGGACTCTACAGAGATGTGGAGGTGACATTAGATTGGACTGGGTAACAGATTTGATGTTAGGCACATTTTTATTTATTCATACTTATTCCTTCAGTAAATAATTTGAGAGCCTATGTGAATGCCAGTTGGTGTGCTATTTTCACAATATAATGTGAGCTGAAAACAGACACAAGTTTCCTACACTCAGGGAGATTTAGTAGAACTAGCATGGAAGTAGCCATAGGTTCTACCCTCCATAAATGCTGGGAAGCAGTTTACGGGATGCTATAATGGCATACAGTAGACAGGAGGTTTCCCTGGGGAAATGAGCCAAGAGCTGAAGGATAAGCTAAAAGCTAACTAAGCAAGAAGGGAAACACATTCACAGAGAGTAGTTTGTGCAAAGGCCCTGTGTTGGGATGGAACATGACATGTTTGAAGAATTAAAAAAAAATAAATAAAGAGATCTGGGGACATAGCTCAGTGATGAGTGTGTGCTTAGCACATACAAGGCCATAGGTTCAATCCTCAGCAGAATAAGAAAGACTTTACTGGCCATATTCAAGTTTGGAGCCTTTAGCCTCAGAATGGGACACAGTTGAAAGTTTTAAAAAGAATAGAGATAATGATTAAATTTTCATTTTGAAAAGATTACCCTAACCATGAAGAAGAAAAGGAGAGGTAGGGAAGGGAATGGAGAAGGCCAAAGATTGGTTATGGAGAGCCAATTGTTGTGATTTGGTTGAGGTTCTTAATCTTGGCTATATCACTTGAAGAGTTTTCAAAATATCCAGATGCCCAGACTATACCCACTATTACTGAAATCAGAATCTCCCAGTAGGGGGTGGCTGGGGTGACCTAGGCATTAATAGCTTTTAAAACTCTCCAGATAATTCCATTGTGTAGCCAAGTTTGGGAACCAATGATTCAGGTAACTGGTAATGGGTTGTATCGGTACAAAGACTGAGAAGGATTTGAGAGAGACTTAGATGGAAACTGTTTTATAAACAACAGGCAGGCAAAAGGTTGGTACATAAGAGGCCTAAGAGAAGAACATTACAGTCAGAGCACTGGTAGAGAAAAGAGCAGAGACTGAATCAAACATATTCAGATCAAGGCACAAACTCCTTCAGGAGTTTTGAGGAAGGGCTTTTCACAGAATAAGAGAAAGCAAGATTAAGTTGTTTATCTAATCCTCGGGTTGTTGAGCTTCACCATTAGGCCAGTCTTTGTGATTAGATTCCTTTTACATTTATTTATTTATTTATTTATTTATTTTTGCAGTCATGGGGTTCAATCTGCATGTCTTGCACATGCTAGACAAGTCTTCTACCATTGAGCTACACCCCAAGCCCTGTGATTAGATTTTTCAGGGCTGAAATCATGTGTAGATTAGCAATCTCTTGCATTTCATGTTCCCTTCTCTGAGGTTTCTAATTTGGCAAATTGTTTAGGAAAAGAATAAACATAGACTATGCATGATAGGTCATGTTTATTGCTTTAAAAAATCTTCCTCCATTAAAATTCTTTCTCAACACACATCATTTATTTACTTAGGAAACACTTATTAAGCACTGACTATGTGCAGGCCACATTGGAGGATATAGAGCAGGCTGTTCTCAGAACTTACAGCTTGGGAGGAGGAGGCATCTCTCAGAAGAAAGTTGTCCCTGAATTACTAACCCTGGTACCAAATAATTAAAGATCATTCTTTCAAACTAAAATAAATGCTTTTAGTAGCTGTGTGACCCTTAGGTTCTTTGACCCTCACTTTTCTCACCTGCGAAAAGGATAAAAATAGTATCTACCTACTAGAACTGAGATATATGTATAAAGAATTTAGCATTGTGCTAACAGCAGCAGTTTGATACAAAGTGGTTCCCAGATAATGTAGTACTAAAAGGCTTGGTGGGGGGGCGTCTAGAATTAGGCTGTCAAAATGCAAATTTGTGTGATTTATTCATTTTATTTACATTTTGGTATAAAAGTAGGCTTCTTAACTGGAGACCAAAGAAATAACTTCTGGCTAACTAAGTCCCTTTTTCCATATTTTAAATACAGCCCTTTGCCTTACATGCCATAAATTATTATGTTATTATGCACAATTGCTAAAATAACAGTGTGTTAAAATTAAGGAGTAATCTTATAATAAATCATTAATTTGTTTTAAATTCCAGGTTGGGACCAGAAATTACCCACCATTTCACTGAATCCTAGACCATTGAATTCAGTGCCAGAGTTCTACTGTTATGAAGACAACAGTGGCTTCGAAAGATAACTTTTAAACTAAAATAACCCTGGCCTTGGAACAAAATAACTTCCAACATTCTTAGAAGACTCTTGAAATAAACTGATGGTAGAACTATTTTTAATTTAAGTGTGTATACAACAGCTCTAATCCTAAAATATTTACATGTTACAAATTCTTTTCAGATTAAGTTGATCAGCCTCCAACTGGGAATCAAGATCCAGCCTTAAGAAAATGTGTCATGGGTTAAGGGTACATAGCTCAAAGCACTGGCTAGTTTGAGTAAAGCTCTGGGTTTGACCCCTAGAAACACAGAAAAAGGAAAAAAGGGAGGGAGGAGGGAGAGGGAGAAAGTGGGGGAGGGAGAAGAGAAAGAGAAAGAGAAAAAAAAAAAGAAGACAACTTGTCATATGACTAATACCAGTCATTGATGATGCACACAAACCATCTTATATGGTAATATGTGGGACTAGGTGAAAACATATAGTAATTGCATCTGCTCAATATCATTGTTGAAGGTGGGGGGAGAACCTGGAATATATAGCCAAGAAGGAAAACAACTGAAGGGGCTCTAGATGAAGAAATCCAGGAAAAGCACAGGTCTGCAGTAAGAAGCAGGGAGGGTTTGAAAAGAAGACTGTCTGTGTATACAAGTTTAACATCCCTATGGCAGCAAGAAAGCTTGGTAAGTATGCATCAATTCCACAGGCAAAAAGCCAGAGGGTCTTCTTTAAAGAAATGATCTCAGAGAAAAGAATCTTACATTCTGACCACTAGGGAATTCTCCAGCATACTAATTCGCTTCCTACTCAATCATCCTGGAGTAAAGCCTAGAGTTAATAAACTTCTTCCAAGAACAGTTCCATATAGCTTTCCACTGCCTTAGTCCTTGACACTGTCAGCCAAGCCATCACTAAGCGATCTGAAAAAATAATGCAACATGAAAGATAAAGACCCAGGGGGCTTGGGTTGTGGCTCAGCGGTAGAGTGCTCGCTGCAGTAGAGGGCTTGCCTCGCACGTGCAAGACCCTGGGTTCGATCCTCAGCACCACATAAAAAATAAATGAATAAAATAAGAGTATTGTGTCCAACTACAACTAAAAAATTTTTTAAAAAAAGACAAAGACCCAATTAAAAAGAAGAAATGACATCAGATGAAAGAGAATTCAGGAGACACAAAAGAACATATAATAAATAACAAAACAGCTCAAGTTAGGGTTCTCCAGAGAAACTGAATGTTTTTTTTTTTTATTTATTCATTTATGGCTATGAGATGATGGAAGTACGTAAGTCCCATGATCTATCATCTGCAAGTTGGAGGCTCATAAAGCTCATTTGCAAGGTGGAGGGGCTGGGGCTGTAGCTCAGTGACAGAGTGCTTGCCTTGCACCTGTGAGGCACTGGGTTCGATCCTTAGCACCACATAAAAATAAATAAAATAAAGGCGTGCTATCCATCTACAACTACAAAAATTAAAAAAAAAAAAGATTTGATGGAATGGTTCCAATCCAAGCCCAATGATGTAAGTCCTGGTCCAACTTTGAAGGCTAAGAACTAGAAGCACTGTTATCAAAGGACAGGAAAGAACCTCTTTCAAGCAGAGAGCAAATTCATCCTTCTATTCCCCTTTTTGTTCTATTCAGGCTTCAACAGACCCAATGACGTACTCCCATGTTGGTGAGGGCAATCTTCCTTGTGCAGTCTACTAATTCAAATACTAATCTCTTCCAGAAATATCCTCACAGATAAAGCACAGAAATAATGGACTGAGAATTTCCTAGCCCAGTCAACACACTAAAATTAACTATCACATGTCCACCCACCCCTTGTCAACTTGGCACTCATACACATCTTCTTAAACCATAACCTCCAAAAGACCAGTAACAAGTTCATAATTCTGCTTAACATAATAAACTAACGTAATCCCGCCTTTAAACACCTTTGCTTTCTGAGGTTTCAGTTATCTAGGGTAAACCTCAGCCAGAAAATATTAATGGGAAAATCTAGAAATAACTCATAAATTTCAAATTGCATGTCATTCTGAGCAGCATGATGAGAAATCATGCCATCATGCTTGGTCCTGCTTGGATGAGTATCATTCCTTTGTCCAAAATATCCAAGTTATGTATACCGTATGTGAGTATACAGTCACGTGGCAGCTAGCTTATTAGTTTGACCATCACAGTATTGTGATGCTGTGTATAGGGTTTAGTTCTATGTGTGATTTCAGACATCCAGTAAGGGTTTTGAAATACATCTCCTGAGAATAAGGTGGGACTACTATATCCTGTGTACAACCAAAAAAAAAAAAAAAAGCACTCCCAATGTTTACCACACGGAAGAGAAAAAGTCATTGAATGAAGTTTACTCTTCTCCTGATATCTGGAAACTTAAAATTATCATGAAAAATTAACCAATATTCATAGTATTTGTATTATGCTACATAATGGAATAATAGATATTTTGCTTAACATAAGTATTTATACAATCATTTATTAAAAAATGACATGCTCATGACAATTATAGTCCTCATTTGGTCATGTGGTTGTACTGCTATTTATAACTGCCTTCTACAACACATTCTGTATTCCCTTTCCCTTCAGCAAGCAATTCAGTCATGTTTCTTTGCTCAGCTGGATAGTCCAAATATTCGTTCCTGAAGGGTCTGAGTCATTAGTAGTACTACCTAGATGCTGGATGGGTGGCTATAGTTTTCCACTGACCTCGCAGGGTAAATTAAGAATTGTTCCTAACGCTCTTTCTTCCCTCCATTGTTGAGCAGTAGTCCAAATCCCCTGTGATAATCTAGATCAATCAACCCCAACCAACACCATCTCTTCATAGCATATTGATTCAGAGGCACAAGGAGCCCAAAGTGGCCAGGTGGCAGTCTTAACTTCCATTTCAATGGAATTATTGTGTCTCCTGGTGGAAGTATTCCTCCCTTTAGAATACAGACCTCTAGGCCAGCAGAAAATAAATCCTGGGAACAGGAAGCAAACATTTTGTAATGGATCTCTAGGTGTAACAATGAGTGATCCCACTCCCACTTTCAAACCTTGACTCCTGAATCTGTAAATCCTAGCTACTAGAGAATTAGAACCATATTTTAGGCATGGATTGAGTATCTGCAGCCTTCTGGAGAACTTTGTCCCAAACCTACAAGGTTTGCTACCCAGCTAGTACTTCAATCAATTTTTTCAAAAGGTCATTTCACTGTGTTAACACAACAGTTGTTTGAGGATGATGGAGAACATGGTAATGCCAGTGAATTCTAAGAGTGTAAGCCCAAAGCTATGCTTCTTTTGCTGTGATGCTGAGTTCCTTGATCAGAAGTAATGCTGAGTGGAATACTGTGATGATGGATAAGGTATTCAGTAAGTACACAGATGGTAAATTTGGCAGAAGTGTTGCATGCTAAAAAGGCAAATCTGGATCCAGGATAAAACACTGCCTCTTCCATGATAGAAATATATCAATTGTAATCAACCTGCCACCAGAGAGCTTGATGATCACCCCAAAGAACTATGCCATATTGGGGGTTCAGAGTTGGTTTCTGCTGCTGGCAGATTGGGCACCCAGCAGTGGCCAGTCAGGGTGATCTTGGTGAGTGGAAGTCCATGTTGCTGAGTGTGTGTGTAAAATGCATAACCTCCATCCCTGCCGCAATGGCTGCTTAGTTCATACACCCTCTGGGCAATGACAAAGTTTGCAAGGGAAAGAAGCTAAGTGGTTTCCGAAGAATGGACCACCCAATTCACTTATTAAAGCATTCCTCTAATGAGGTCATCTTTTGATGAGCATTCACATGCAACACAAATGTCTCCACATTTTTTACCCATATAGGGAAGATTTATCAGTATACATACCTCCTCTTCCAAAGGTTTTTGTCATTAATTTTCCAATTGTCTTCCTTCCAACTCCCTCAATAACTAGCCAAACTGCTGGCTTAAGCTCATAAATCTGTATATAATTGCATGCCTGGCCATTTCTCTTTCTAAGCAAAGAACATAACCAGATGTTTGAAGTTCTGATCACTGAGGTTTCCCTTCACCACTGTCCTTCAGGGTTGTCCGAGAAAGGCTGTAGTGCTACAGCCCTTCAGGGTTGTCCAAGAAAGGCTGTAGTGCTACAGCTGTTTACATTCAGGTGGTGATCACATGTCATGGGAGAACCTTCTGTAAACTAAGCCCAAGTGTTTCCCTGTCAACTGATCCTAGGCAATTCCCCATGAGGCCATAAATACAGGCTGGGAAGAGAAGGCAGGGTAGCGTAGCAGAAGGGGTACAATAGACATTTGGGCCACCACTTTATATAATTTATTTGTGCTCTTCACAGGCACAATTCCTAACAGGCCCCAATTCTGTATGTACCATTTCCATTAATGTATTGTTGTGCATGCCCCATGTTATTGCTTAGAGGATCAGGTAACAGTTCTCGATAGAGAGCTTGGGTTGCATTGTAACTGGTGGCCCAAGGTCATGTTCAGTCTTTACTGAGGTTCAGTAGCAGCCAATATCTGTCTCACAAAAGGACAATAGTTATCTGAAGATGAAGGCAAGGCCTGGCTCCAAAATTCTAAAGACCTGTGTTGTGATTCACCTATATGGACCTGCCAAAAGCTCTAGGTACATCACCACCTACCACTGTCACATTTGCTGGATCATGTAGCAGCTTGCACAGCACCCTGGTCCATTATCGAGCCTTCTCTTATCCTGGGACCCACTCAAAACTATCAGTTTTTCAGGCAAATGGCCTGGAATAACACACCTAAATGAGGAATATGTTGCCTCCCAAATCCAAAGAGGTCCATTGGGCATTGTGCCTCTTCATAGGTTGCAGAAGGTGCCAGATTCAACAATTTGAAAGGTGAAGGCACCACACCACTAGATGCCTAGAAATTTCACCGAGGTAGAAGGCCTCTAAATTTTTGTTGGATTCATTCTTCACTTTCTGATATGTAAATGTC